TTGCAAGGAAACTTCCCTGGAAAATGATGCTCCAATAATTATAGGCTTATTTCCTAAACTGCAGAGTGTATAAAAGTAATTTCTGATTGTTTGTTTTTCCTTTGTAGTAGAAGTGGAAACCACAGACTGAAGAGTAGAAGTTCATGAAGCAGTACTAAAATCTATGGCTAACACAGTCACAAAATGAACTACTTAATCCTTGAAAATAGATTAGGGAGAAGACTGACATACTTTTCAAAAGAAGTTAGAGCAGTTATCGCTAAAATTATACATTGTCAAAATATATAATATTTGTGAACATATTTACTGATTGTAAGTATTTTCTACCTGTCTAAATTTTTGTTTACCTTTGCATATGGTGTCTGCTTAGATATTACAGTATTGCTTTTGCACAAGCAAAATAATTCACTGGTTTCGTCTCTTAAACATAAATTTTTTAGGATTTCATGCACAGCTCAGTACTTTTAACTGACATACTGCCGTATTTTGGACGCTATGATATTTAAGAGTTACGAGTCACAAAGCCGGTTATAACAAAAAGACCTTTTTTTTTTTTTTTTTTTTTTTTCTGGATAAGGACTGGGATGTGGATGGGAAGGGAGGAGTAAGGACAGTGACAGTGCTGAGCTTACTCGTTCTGTGATACTGCATCCAGAGAGGTCAACAGAAATCCACCATGGCTGGTACAATAACGGAGGTAATGCGGAGGATTATTGTGCCTGTTTTACAAGTGCAAAACTGGAGGAAAAAGGGATTGGTGGCTCTCCTCTGGACCCGCTCCAAAAGGTCCATGTCTTTCCTGCACTGAGGGCTCCAGAGCTGGACGCAGCATTCCAGGTAGGGTGTTACCAGAGCAGAGGAGAGAGGCAGAATCATGTTCCTTGACCTGCTGGCCACGTTTCTTTCAATGCAACCCAGGATACAGTTGGCTTTCTGGGCTGCAAGAGCACATTGTCCCCTCATGTTCAGCTTTTCATCCACCAGTACCCCCAAAGTCCTTTTTGGCAGGGCTGCTCTCAATCCCTTCATGTCCCCAGCCTGTATTGATACCGGGCATCTTTTCCTCAGGGTCCCTGATGCTCCTTATCCTTTCTACTTCCTCTCGTAGCTCTGCCACCAGCCCGAGCAGATCATTCACCTGGTCACACCTCCCACTGTCGTTCTCACTGCTGCCATCCATTACTAGTGAAAGGCCCTGGCACTCCCTGCCGCTGAGACCTAGGCAGCTGCATGTTTTCATGGGAGTTCTGTCTGGGTTGCCACTTCCATTCTTCCAAGTGCAGAGGACTTCTCCTCTTAGAAAAAAAAAAAAAAGAAACTGTTTTCATCTCAACCCATGAGCTTTTGCACTTTTACCCTTCTGATTCTCTTCCCTATTCCACTGGGCAGGGGGCTAAGCAAGAGGCTGAGTGATGCTTAGCTACCTACTGAGGTTTATCAATAGAAAAATCATTTATCTACTTTTTCAAGCACGTAGAAAAAGGCTAGGAACGTTACAACCTATCAAGCAAAGTAATTGAATGTGAGCTTAATTTTAAGTGTGTTAATGATGTTTATAAAAGCATATTTGCAGTAAACTCCTTACTTTTTAAATTAAAAAAAAAAAAAAGGATAGAAAGGATCTGAGATTACTTGGAAGGCCCTGCTCCCAAAATTGGTGATTAAAGAAGGATAAGCACAGTGCTTGTGGCTTCAAAGGTCAGTCCTGCTGAATTTAAGTGACTGATGGATTCTCTTCACCAGAGGTGCAATTTTCCCCCGAAGAAATACTTCTTAAAGACCAATGCTGGCTAGCTGGTATTTATGAGAGAGTCCAAAGGGAATTACAAGTAGGTTGTTAGGGTTATCATTTACTCAGTGGTTTCTGCCGATATTGTAGCGCAGAGATCCCACAGCACTTCTTCTTAGCATGTGATAAATGGTGTACCAGGTGAAGGTGAGAAAGGAGTGAAGGCAGCCACCGTGATGACAAACTGTTGCTTTGCTACTCCTGCTATGAACCTGCTATTTCCCTGCCAGCAATCACCAGTGCCTTAGCTGTGCCCAGCACTGCTCTCCTTGGCCCCTGATAACATGCCTGCCTGTTTGGGGGAGCACTTTAAGGAGGTGCTGGGTACGCGGCTACAAACAGCACAGTTTTCCTTCCTCATGCCAGCATGGCAAGAACAGTACATTTTATGGCTACGTTTGCAAGACTTATTGTATAGAGGCTCTTCATGCAACCTGACTGGTTTCCAGTAGCTGATACGGCATAAAGTTATTAACTAGTGTGAGAAAGAAGTACATCATCCTGCTCCAGTGGGAAGGTCTGTGACTGGCAACAGGAGCCCATCAATACAGCTATGGTGCCATAACAGTAATTTTTTTCCATCTCCCTGTATTTAATTCCTCTGTCTTTGTATTAAAATTAGTTTATTTTCATTGCAGAAAGCTACTCAGATATGTTTCATATTTGATGCAGCCTCCCTCGTTTTTCCTCTTATGAAAAAAATAGCACAACTGGGGGAAAAATGGAAGAAAAAAAAAACCTGACAAAAGTATCCAATTTTAAAACTTCTAAGTGGTTGTTTTGTTTTGTCATTTTAATACAAACATACTTAAAAATAACTGAAGTCCACCCCTGAATCAAACAAAACATTACGTCAGCTGGGTATAAAAGAAAATATCTGGTGGGATCTGAAATAAGTTTTATGTTGTTTTTTGATTGATGGAAAAATCACGTACTTTGTTTTTGCTGTACTCTTTCAGGACTGCAAGCCAGTTTAATGCTAACAATTCAGCTGTTATCCAGCTACGGAAAATAGACCGATGAGGTTAAGTAAGGCCACAGTCAACACCAAATAATGCAGTGTTGAATGTGTTGCCTGATTGGTATTAAAAAGAAAAAAGGAAAAGCAATGTCTAGCACCTTCATTTAAAAAAATATCAAAGTCATCCCTCACCCAAACAAACAAACAAAATAATTCCTTAGAAAACCCAAATAAAAGGAAGTTCCTGAACTCTAAGAAAATCACTGTTAAGGGACTAGTGTTACTAATGTCTCCTCTGAACTCATTGTTTATATATCTTTGCCTTTGCTTTCTTAATTTGGTCAATCACATTCTTTAAGATGAGACTCCAAGTCTTCCCATTGATGTTTGGATTCCTGGGACTAAATTATGGCTTTGAAAGTTCTTATTACTGCATCTTTGGCTCCTCTTCAATGAGCAGATGTTGGCCATGGAGGGAAATGTTGAATTTACGTCTTTATCGGTTCTTTCTGCTGGCAGCTTCTTGTGTTTCTACCTTGAAAAAGAGGGGAGCTGTTTCAAGCTTTTACTGTCTCCGGTTTATTCAGATTCTTGTTTTTTGCTACTCCTGTTAGAGCCATAGCAAGGAATGTGCCATGCTATTGGACTCAAAATTATTTACCTGTTGTTCTTCAATGGATGTGTGATTCGATTACAGCAGCTGGAAGAGTAATGCAGATACTACCATGGCCTGGAAATCCATTCTGGTTTTTGGAACTGGGACTCTGGGGTTGTTTCAGAGACATGCGATGACTAGATACCTTAGCTGACCTCTGTGATCTTCATGGGGCTTTATTTTCAATATTGCAGTGTGATATAGAAGAGAGGAGTTTTGACATGGTTTCTGCAACAGCTGTGGGCTGTGGTGCAGTGGCTGTTTGGGCAGAGCTGGTTGCAGGAAGAGCAGGAGTTGCTGGAATTGGAGCCCCCGGCATCTCTGCAGTGGCCTTGGCACCCCGAGAAGGGCACTGAAATCGGGGAGTGGTGGCAAAGGTCAGCAGACTCTCAGCATCAGCAAGACCTGGGCAAAAGCTCAGCCCTCCATTCATTACTGAACCACCAAAGTGACAATGCAGCCTTTTTCTGTGGAGAGTTTGTGGCCCCGTCCACTGTCCATTGTATTGATTTCAATGAAACTTAAGCACGTACTTAGAATTAAGCACTTCTTTGCCTGGTGCCCTCAGGAAGAGAGCGTTTCCTCAACGGGGGCCAAACATGTACTTTGTACGGGGCATCTTCTGACCCAGAAGGTCAATTAAAGCTTCTGAGGGACTCTGGAAGGGATATTTTTAATTGTTCAAAGTCTTGTTTTGTTTTCAGGCCCTGCAAAATAATCTGAATGTGTGTTTGTATAAATGCATAAGGGAAAAGTTGGCAAAGGAAGAAGATTGTTATTCGTTGCAGTTTGGGTCCTGCAACTGGAGTCAGACTGAGTTTTGCCATTGATTTCTGTGAGCACAGGGGCAACCTGTCCAGCTATTTTGAATGAATAATTTTTTTTTTTCCCATGTAGAGACAAAAATAGTTGGTGTAAAATTGAGGGATTTTTGCTGATGTGATATACAACTTGTAAAATATTTGTGTGTTTGCTCATATGATTCTAACCTCAGAGTAGAAGATAACTTCATCCTTGTAATGGAAATCCCAGCACAGGGAGTGAGGCACAAGTGGGACCCACCTAAATGCTGGATCACAGAAGAAATCCTGAGTCTGGCAGCTTTAGGACTATATTCTTCAGGTTAGGAGGAGTATTCCACGGCAAACTCCATTGTTTTAGTAGTTACTGTCTGTGGGTAGGAACTACTCACTTCTGCACTACTTCCCCTCAAAAACACATCTTTATTGGTGTTACTTCATCACTTGAGCTTAGACTACTCTTTTCTTGTTTATCTTTGTTTGTTAGCTATTTTTTTATGGTGAACTGGTGTAAATTGGTTTTTTGGTTTTTTTTTTTTTGTTTGTTTGTTTTTTTTTTTCCAAAAAGATGAAGTGAAGGAACATCACTATTCTCCCTTTGCTCTTTGGCAAGGCAGGAGCAGGGACTGCAGCAGGAAAAGACTCCTTATCCTGGCAGGTTTGCTCTGCAAGTCTGTGTGTTAAACCTAAGGGTACTAATGACTGTGTGCAGACTGAAAATTCAGATATGCTCCCTCTCTTTTGTTGCAGGAGGAAGCATTTTTCTGCTGCAGGTCTGAGAAAGCGCAGGCTGGCATGGAGAAAGAGGTAAGTGAAGAAAAACCTTGCTTTAAAACAGAAAAATTAAAAGACCTATTCCTAGCATTTCTATTTCATAATATTATTTGTAGTGTGATGGGAGGGAAGTCAGCAGACCCGTAGGCTCCTTTATATCACTGACAAGTCAAAGGGATGATTAACGAGAGTACCAGACAATGTAATGGTAGGAGAAGGCCCACAGAAGTTAAACAAAAGTGCCTTCAGAATTTAGAGAATTCCCATGATCCATAGTAGGACCTCATTGTGCTTGTCTACTGTTTCTATTTTTGATTAGATTTATAAACACAGCACCACATATTTTCATGTGGCTCATAGCCCCAGGGCAGAGCAAGATTGACTGTGCTGAAACTGTGAGGCTTGTGAATTTCGGGCAAGGGATGGAGTGAAATAAGTAGTGTAATTGTTTTTGTGGAGCGACCGTGGGACCTCCTCTGTTCTGAATTACACATGGTTCAACCCTTTGACCTAACCAACCTCGGCAATGCCTGGTAGATCTCCTAAAGCTGTGCTGAAAGGTCCTATCAGTGACATGTTGGAACATTATCTGTCATGTGAGATGTGTGCCAACAACCATATTAAACTACATTAATTACTAGTGAGGCCATGTTTGTGACAATCTCAACTTCATTTAACCCATCATCATGTTAGTTATTGTTTAAACAGGAAGTACAAATGGGGACAATTTATGAAATCAAAATGCAGCACCAATGTTTTCTTTAATAAATTGTATGTTTTAGTTTGTTTTATTTCCTTTCTATACCCCCCCCAGCATTTTTGTTCTTGTCATGAGCTCTGTAGCTCGAGTTATTGAGGGTTTTTCTTTTTTAAGAGTAAGCGAGAATAAGACTACTTCTTAGTAACCAAACGGATATGCCATTTTAATTGTTATTTCTTTCAATGTAATTTTAAGTGATACTGCAGTTGAATGACACCAATACTTGTTTTCTAGCAAGAAGCAAACGTGCTAAGGTAGTTTATATAAGGCTGGAGAGATCACAGGTGGGTTATTCGCTTGAGGTGCACCTACCCTCCAGCTCGTGCGTCTCTGCGTGGCAATGCTCGCACACCTCTGGATCAGGACTGAAGCATGCATTTCTTTTTAATTCTGAGAGAACAATTTTCTCATAGACCTGACCCTGTAGGTAGCAAGGCACCCTTATAGTACTTTTGAGTCCTCAAAAGGCAGCCCAGTATGCAGAAATTCAGAAGCGTTCTTTGTACGGGGTCATTTTCGGAAACAATTTATAGGAGGAAGAGGCAGAAGCTCTCCCGTGGGCTGCATGGGCAGTGTGCAGGTTCAGCTGTGCCCAATATTGCATTAGACTAGACATCTAGATACATCTTCCACCTACACACTGAGCTGCTCTTTTTCAACAAGGCTTTTCCTCTAGCCTCATTCTCTAGCTAGAACAGTATTAAATGAAGTTGGTATTTATTTATTTATTTTTTTAATTGCTGCAGAGTCAGCTAAAAAATGTGTTTGACCCTACTAAGTGTCATTCTCATTAGCAATGAAGAGTTTGCTCTCTGCAAAATCTAACATGGAGTGCTTAAAGCAGACAGGTGCAAATTACAAGCTGTTTCTCTTTGGCTGCCATCCCTTAAATAGACAAAGTAATAGGCAAGGAGAAGGGAAAAGGTTCCAGCTCCAGCTGCATAAAAGAAAGCCTTAACAGGGACTTAGCAGCTGGTTGCAAGAATTAAATGCTGTAAATACCAACTAACGCATTTGTGTGTGTGTTCACAGAGGAATATGTTTTTAGTAAGGCTCCATCCCTTTTCATGCAGAAGGATCACTCTTTGAAAACTGTGCTCTGCTTTATGTTGAGAGGCTCATGCTCTCACTGAAGTGAATGAGAACAGAAGCCTACATACCTCTTCCTGTTTACCATCATTACACTCCTTAGAGCATTTCAGGCATTATTAGGTTCTTGGAGCCCTACCAGATTGACAATATTTCCAGCTACTTCTCTTTTGACTGTATTCAAACAAGGCCCCAAAGGAAAAAAAAAAAAAAGAACCAACCAAAAAAAAAAAAAAAAAACAAACCACAAAACCAACCCACAAACAAAACCATGGATGAATCTGCTGAGCTAGTTTGCTGATGTTAGAAACAGTTGTTCATATTAGGAACACCTAATTTAATTTCATGAAAGAGACATAACATGCCAGTATGTGTATGAATCTAAGGTATGCATTTCCTAAAAGGAACTAAAACTCTGTCATTCCAAAGTTGCTCTTCTTTTTGACTTCCAGCTTGCATGGGGACTGCTGTCTGGAAGCAGTAACTTTAACTTTAACTCTAAGGCTGCTGATGAGGTCTGTCTGTGTGATCTTCGTAAGCAGATAAGGGTAGGGAGACAGCTCAGAGCAGAGCTTGTTTACAGCAGGACAGAAGAAAACAGCTAGACATAAATGAGGGCTGACGGTTTCATGAAGCACAATTGGTTGATCACAGATTCAATATGACTGCCCTGAACTGAGCGATGATCCGTACAGTATGCAAAATTCACTTTCTTGCTGGTCTGTGCCCACCAGCCTTCCAGCAGCTTTCCCAGAGCCCCTCAGCCACGGCTTTGAGTGGAACCAGAGCTGAATGCAGCATTGTTGTACCCAATTCCTTTTGACAACAATCACATTCTTTTAAAAACTTCATAGGTTTTAGTTGTCACTGGTTATAAATGAGGGTTTTTTCCCTCGCTGCTGCTGCTGCGGTTTTAGTTGTCACTGGTTATAAATGAGGGGTTTTTCCCTCGCTGCTGCTGCTGCTGCTGTTGCAGTGCTTGCTGCTCTCCCGCAGACCCGAGTACGGTGGGTCCTGGTACTCCCAGTTTTCCTTTGTTTCAATTGGTATCAGAAAGCAGGCAGTGCATTTTAATGACGACGGCACGCAAAACAGCATTTAAAGGCTTAGGTTGCATTTTGAAGGACATGGTGATTAGCCTGCGCTGTGCTCAGACACTTCTAACTCCCCTTTGCCGTAATGCAGCACACTCAAGGTAAAAAGGCATTTAAAAAAAAAAAAAAAGTAAGTTAAAAGGCAAGACTTCTTGTTTTTCACCAACTGTGGTGGAGCTTGGAGCTAGCATGAATCGCTATCAGCAGAAGCATCACCCTTTAAACGTGAGTTTGTAAGCAAAGGACATCCCCTTTCTATGTGCTGGTTGTGGATGGACAGGTCTGACGTGTTGTGTTTTGTGGATGCAGGTTGGACCACCTCCACCGCAGGTGTAAACCAGCACAGCCTTTGTATCACTTGAAGCTCAAGTTGTGCAACTTTGCTTTTTTGTAGGACTGATTCTTTATGTCTATTTCTGGATAACATTCTAGATTAGAACGGCAGCTTTCTGTACGGATGTGTTCATGTGCATTCATCTAGGCATGCTCACACAACTGGACTTTGCCCCCAAATATGGCAAGTGGTGACTGAAAGAGTTTTACTTAATTTGCTGTTGCAAACCTGAGTTTTGCAGGTACATGTGAACTGATTAAAGAACAATTGCTTTAGACATAAATTAGCATAAATACATAAATTAACTAGTAGTGACTAATGATAAAATGAATATAAAATGCCACTGGATAATTTCCTGCCTATTCTCTGATGAGAAGGCAAAGTGTCATAAAGGTACAGGGGCTGGGGAAGGGAACCTAAAATGAAGATGGGGGCTGAAAAAAACAGTGTAATGTACATGACTTAAAGGTGCTCATGTGTAAAAGAGAGAAGGATGAGGAAATTGGCTGGAGATAGGTATGAAAGGAAAATGTCTTCTAATTTCCTCCGAAGCACAAAATGACAAGAACATGTGTTGATCACACAAAGGCCAGCACCGAAATACTCAGTTATGTTGAAAAGTAGCCCTGGAAGAATTCCCTTCTGCTGTTGAAAATCAAGTGTTTCTTTCATTCTAAAAATAGAAACTCATGAAAAGCACCTTTTCAAAACCCAATCACCTTAAGGGACAAGGGTATCATTTGTTTTGAAGTTCTTTGGTAAATAGGGAGGAGTCACAAGCCTGTGCATCAACTACATAAAATACAAATTTGCGTTTGAGTGAGTAAAGTGCCAAACACACACACACACAGCCACTCCAAAACATCAGAACCCACTGTGCATTTTTATTAGATATGGGGGAGGAGGAAAACTTTTTTTTTTCTTCTTGCTGTGAAAGGAGCTT